AGTCCGTCCAGAGGCTTTCTTCAGATAACGCGCAGTCCAGAGGCTGCGTGTGGCCGGAGGAGCTGGCTGAATAAACTTCAGAGCTGGTGTTTCCTGGGGAGCTTGGTAATAGTGTGGTTTATTGATCAGACCAATCCATATCCTTCTTCATCTCATTGTGTTTTTCTTTTTCTGAACTAATCCATATCAGATACGTTCTCAGATCTGACACACTGATTTAAAAATAAAAAATTCGTAAAAATACTGTACCTTTTTTTTTAAAAAAAGTCCAACTCTCTGCTGCCAGAGCCACAAGTGTGTGCTTTTCTTTTCTAGATCTTTTTTTAAGAGTTGTTTTTTTTAAAACACTCAGACTGGTAATATAAAAAAACCTATGGCAAACTCATGAAAAGTTTTTTAGGCTGAGTGGAAACTCTGATCTACTAGAAAGTTAAAGCTGATGTATTTAGGCAGCTGCAAAATTAAATGTTTTGGAAGTAAGCTATTCTTCCAGCCGCTGCTGTTGTGGAAATATTAAGACGTTAATAGGTTTTTCTTGTGGAATTACAAAGGGAGTCAAGTGTGTTACATCTCTTCTTGTATGTGTCAACAGCCCTCCTCGTCTTTGATTTTTTGGGAAAAATCATCTGTACTCTTTGTTTTAGATCACTGTTATCTTAAGGCTGAAAGCTAAAGGAACCTGATAGGTTTTTCTTTGATTTTAAAGTAAAAAGGAGCAGGAAATACAGGTTTTTCTTGTGGAATTACAAAGGGAGTCAAGTGTGTTACATCTCTTCTTGTATGTGTCAACAGCCCTCCTCGTCTTTGATTTTTTGGGAAAAATCATCTGTACTCTTTGTTTTAGATCACTGTTATCTTAAGGCTGAAAGCTAAAGGAACCTGATAGGTTTTTCTTTGATTTTAAAGTAAAAAGGAGCAGGAAATACCATATATGAAATACGGATGTGCTGCTGCGCAGAGCCCTTTGTGCAGCGTCCCACGAGGAGGTAATAACCCAGCAAATCCCATTTACTTGGTGTCTACCATAAATCAGCAATTGCCCGGTCGTGCAATATCTATTTGTGGAGTATTTAGGTCCGCGCGCAGTTGGTGAATCGGTGTGATTACTGCTTAATTATGTGCGGTTAATGAGCTTGTGCTGGAGCCGCAGCCATCGAGCTGGGAGTATTTGGCTGGAGTCAGAAACCTCTGGGAAGGGCTGGTGGTGTGCAGGGCACAGCTTCACACCACTCGCAGGCTTGGCTGTCCCCAAACCCCCATCCCTGCCTGCAGGGTACCGGCTGTCAGGAGGGATTTCCTCAGGCTCAGGAAGAGGAGGAGGGTTATCCTGCAAATTCCCTCTTCGCCTGTGTCCGGTGGCTGCTACAAATCGCTCCTTGCATCCTTCTATGCTGCTCAACCCAGAGATGCTCCGACGTATCCGGCAGGAGGCACGAAGAGTGTGTTTTGCTGTGGTCCCAGCAAATCATAGAATCATAGAATGGTTAGGGTTGGAAGGGACCTCATAGATCATCTAGTTCCAACCCCCCTGCCATGGGCAGGGACATCCTCCACTACACCAGGTTGCCCAAAGCCTCATCCAACCTGGCCTTGAACACTTCCAGGGATGGGGCAGCCACAATTTCTCTGGGCAACCTGTTCCAGTGCCTCACCACCCTCAATGTAAAGAATTTCTTTCTTATATCTAACCTAAATCTGCCCTCTTTCAGTTTAAATCCGTTGCCCCTTGTCCTATCACTACACACCCTTGTCAAAAGTCCCTCTCCAGCTTTCCTGTAGGCCCCCTTTAGGTACTGGAAAGCTGCTATAAGATCACCCTGGAGCCTTCTCTTCTCCAGGCTGAACAGCCCCAACTCTCTCAGCCTGTCTTCATAGCAGAGGTGCTCCAGCCCTCTGATCATCTTCGTGGCCCTGCTCTGGACTTGTTCCAGTAGCTCCATGTCCTTCTTGTGTTGGAGACTCCAGAGCTGAACACAGTATTCCAGGTGGGGTCTCACGAGAGCAGAGCAGAGGGGCAGAATCACCTCCCTCGACCTGCTGGCCACACTCCTTTTGATACAGCCCAGGATACAGTTGGCTTTCTGGGCTGCCAGCGCACATTGCCGGCTCATGTTGAGCTTCTCATCCACCAAAGGTGCAAAGCAAGCTGCTGCGATGTACCTGGGTTTTGCACGGAGATCTGTCTGCTTCCCGTGGCTAAATTGTCCTTGCACCGCCTGTTTCCACGTGCGTGCACTGCAAGTCTGGATATTGCACCCACAAATCGAATAAGCAATAAATGGGGTGTACTTGTCCAAAAGTCAAGCTTTCACAAGGTTGCTTATTAAAAACCAACAAATGTAAAAATTACTCATCATATAGGGGGGAAGGAAGAGGATAGTTTGTGTAGCAAATAAATTGCTGCTGACCTAATGCAGCCAATGTTGTTATAATTTTAAAAGAGCTGTTTAAAATTTAAGAGGAAAAAAAAAAAAAAGCATGGCACCAAACAGCCATAGCTTGACAGCCTGCTTTCTGTATTGAATTAAAGTAGCCTCCTCTTCTAAAAAGCATCATAAACCTGTATTTTAATGACCCATAGAATAACACAAAGATTATTTGTTAGTCCGTCTTTCATTTTCCCAGAACCATAATAGCTGTCATTCTCTTAAATCACAAGCATTACTTAGAAAACTTTCCCACCCTGGGCTCACAGCTGGCAGAGGGACCGGAGCCGAATTTGTCGCTTACTCCCCTTTCCAGGCAAGGGTGTGAATTGCAAATCCCTTTTTTTTTTTTTGTTTTGGCACCGTCTGCAGCCAGCCTTTCCAAGCAGCCGTTGTGCTGGCACCGGCAGAGAGCCACGGTGTCGCTCCATTGTGTTTTAGGGCAAGGCACAGATGTGCTTCCCTAAAGAAGGGCCAAAGCGAGGGGAGGCGGCTGAGCCCGCTGCTCCTTCCTGTGGCTCGACCGGCTCGGAGCGGGGCTGGAGCCCAAGAAGGGTTAATGGAAGATCGTTTTATTTGAAGTAAGCAGCTTGAAACAGCTGCAGACTTGACAGGGAATTTGGAAGGAGGTGGAGGTGAGTTTTGAGTACCGCGTGTATTTGTCATCAGATCACTGCTTCCTTTAATCCGCCTTCGGAGCTGGATGAAAGAAGTCAATGCCCCATGGAGGCACGGCTCAGAGCACTCCTCTGGAGTGATGGCATGTAGTCAACGCCGGAAGTTGGGTGAGGAGGACTTGTGTAGGGTAGGTGAGGTTGACAGGGATCTCTGGAAACCCTCCAGTCCAACAGGGTCACCTACAGCAGCTCACCCAGGGCCACCTACAGTCACGTTTTGGATATCTCCAAGGATGGAGATGCCACCGGCTCTCTGGGCGTGTAAGAAAGCCCAGATGAGTATTGCCGATAATTAGCAAGAAGGAGAAGAGTGAAACAATGAAAATCTGGTGTCCTGCAGAGGCAAGTCAAGGTCATGGACTGTCACCTTTTCTGCCCTCACACCACTGGGTTGACACGTGGGTACGTGTGTGTCCCGCTGGAGAGGGACCATGGAAGCACTTGGCACCGTGTCCTCAAGCAGAAGGGGTCTGGAGCTCACCTGCCCTTTGGTTTTAACATGCACACAATTACGGCGCGGAGTTTGCTGAGCACTGATGCAACGAGTTGTTGGGCAAAGCTCTGTCAAAGCTGAAGATGCCTGTCCATGAGATGACCATGAGGACAAGCTCTCCATAGATCAGCAGCCCCTGGAAGATGCTGAATACCTCCTTCTGTCTTGGAATCTCCTTTCTTTGCTTATTTATAACTGTGAATATTACATAAACAGTGGATCGGCTCTGCCTTTGGTCCAGTAGCTCTGCTTTTTTCCCAGAAGCATGATCTCCATGGCTTTACATCATGCTCCCTTTGATGTCAAAACAGTTTTTACTCGGCTGCAGCCTCACGTGTTGAGAAGAAAAAGAAAAACGTGCTGTGCCACAGGGCAGCCTCACGTGTTGAGAAGAAAAAGAAAAATGTGCCTTGCCACAGAATTGTGTAGAGTTTGTACATCTCTTCTGGATGGATGCTCTGGTATGTACACATACAAAAGATTTGAAAATGGTTAAACAGATTTGTCGCTAGCTATATTGTCAATGGTGGCATACAACATTTCCAGCTGGGATGCTTAAAATGAAATGTGCCTGTCATCATGTGACCCTACAGAGCCTGATTTCTGGAAGCCCAAAATACACATGTCCTGCCTGTGCAGCCTGGGAGTGCCCAGGGCAGGGAGCCCGGCTCCCCACACTCAGGGTGACGTTCGGGAAATGAAAGCAGCAGCCCAGCTGCCTATTATTTTGGCCAAATGTGTGATTAATCTCAAGATAGAGGGGGAAAAAGTGACGTTTGCCATCTGGCGAGGCGCTCGCCCATGGAAAAGCCCTGTCTGCAAGCGCTCGGTGAGGCATTACTCACGGTGCGGTTCTGGGAATTGGAGTGAAAAAGATAACAACTGTGTCAGACACTAAACTTGCATAAAATACTCAGCTGGCTCGTTAAAGGAACCAGTGGGAGACACTAACAATTGAAATTTTAAAAGCC